AGTATCAGAAAACATGTTTCAGAGGCAAATGGTGTTTTCATTTGGCAAACATGCAACTTCCATGCAATATCAAGCTATCCATGCATCAAGTACCCTGATAAATGTGAAACAACTTTCCCAAGCACACATTTATCTTTAAAAACTCCCTCTGATCAAGACTTGATATTCCTCATAGAATATTCAGTATATTGCAGTTTGAGTGTATAATTCCTTAATCGCAAGTTTTTGTCAGAAAATATTCATAATGACGTCATGACTTCCAGCATGAGCATCACCAGGTAAGATTTCACAACGTGTAGTTTAGTCCTAAGAGATATCAACTCCTGTCTGCGGTTGAGATACTCTTTACTTAGCTATAAAAACATTTTAGGAGTCACATGAACCCATTATTTCAGCGTTTTATTGAAATACGAGACGAAGTATATAATACAGGGAGTTCTATCTTTATATTCATATTTCGCATGTCGCAAAGGTCACTGTAAAAAGCTATTGGCTTCGAGGAGAGAGCGATCGGATACTCATGAAAATTGACAGGAGGCTTGTTGAAAGACTCCGTAAAGGATTCATCAGAGAAATTCTTGAAATTCTGCCTCCTTTTTGAGCTACGTCCGTCCGTCAACCTCACGTCATTTCCATAAAAGTGGCATTTTCAGGTGGATCATCGAACATTGACGCTTGGAGGATATTATGCGCAACTTTCCAAAATATGGACTAGAAGAGCCTCGAAAAAGTGAAGTATGCTTTTGTCTCTAGACAAATTATACGATGAATGTGCAAGGAGAAATGGTAGCTGCGATAGAAAATTCTCAGTAATGTCGCCATAGCGTCTCGATAACAGCGACATGCATGCGTTTAGTAATACATTTAGCGCGGTATGTCCCGATGAGAATGGCGCAATTTTGACGTTTCTACTACCAGGGGTTGGAGGGATATAGATTTTCAAAGTTCGTCATGTAAATTGTGACATTTGACTTCAAATAATAACCCCGGGCGTGACCCGAGAGAACCAGCAATCCGCTCATGGGCCCTTTCCTGAGGTCCCCTGCAACAATTATGAAGCAGAATTTCGATCCAGGGGGTCGATTTTCATGTATCTATTGTACATTAAACGTATAACATTTCAATGACCACATTCCCTTCAATGAAAGCGAACGTGAAAGCTACACATAGGTTGTGGACTTGAAAATCCCTGACTTTGGAGGTGCCAGCCATAAGTGTATTGTGTATAGGGGTGGTATTGAATAAGCCTGTGCCTAATTCCCGGCACGAAACTCAATACCGACGTCAATCTGAAAGAGAGGTTTCTCATGGAAAACAGTTAGGAATAACGTCCGAGTTTATGTGATTCAGTAGGGCAAACCTTGACCTACTGAAATATGATAGAAGGCGAGTCAAAAGTCACTGAACGACTTTGAACAGCTATATCTGGTCAAGGAAGGCATTAATTTGCAACCGGTTTTTGCATAGGAAATAGAGTGCAATAGAAACAAATATGCAATAATGACAAAATATATCATTTATTTATTTGGCGCAAAAATGATGGGAATTACAGGCCACGATATTCAGCACCATCAGGCTTCTTCGGGTTTCACATTTGGTCAAAATAATTCATTACTGTCAAAGTTATGGAATTTTAAAGTCTGAAGACTCGCAATAGTTTGGCCTGATTCGCCCCTATGCTTGATGATACATTACTATATTTGTTTACGATGGAACCTATAAGGAACATAATGAAATTAGGAGTATGACTTTTCGACAGTGGCGTAGCGAGGGGGCCTTCACCCACACGAACTGCGGTCATCCACCACCCCTTTCCCACCCCGACGAGGATAAATAAGCCCCCCCCCCCCAAACGTTCCGCTTAGTCCCCTATTAACGAAAACCTGGCTACGCCACTGCTTTCCGATGATATGATTCTACATGGATTTTAAGTAGTTTACGCAAACAAGTTATTCTAACTGCATTATATTGAAACATTGACAATTAAATCATTTCTGAAAGCTATGATCATTATTTTCAACTCGAAAAACAATTGAATGTGACGAATATCGAAACTTACTTATGTGTTCCTTTTTAGGTCAATATTTGTGATGAATATCCGAAGATGAATGGCTGCACTAAAAAAAATTGTCAATCTTTGCATATTTGCCCGAAATCAAGTGATCTTTGCAAAGATCACTTGATAGGCAGGCGGAAATCCTTAGAATCTCATTCCTGGACTTTGAGTTAACTAGGGCAATAGGGCCTGCCTGCAATAAAACGTATGGCAGCCAGTCTGGACTGTTGTTAATGGGATTTTGATTATATCGCGTATTTCGGCCAATATCAAGGACTTTCAATGTCGATTCTCCTTCTAATGTGGCAATGCATGTTGAACGAACATCTTACGAGGATTGCTCCAAATGTAATGCATGCTTATTATTTTCTGGCTTACCTTTTGACGGAATAGCTCCGGACTTTAAGGTGAGTTGCCTGGTCCTCTCTGAAGGTCAGACTATATTTCTACGTAGTCAACATTACTATCAAGGCACTTTCGCGAACGCTTTACGAAGGCTTGGATGTCATCGCTGTAAAATTCCTTGCCGGTATCTCGAAGTCCCTTTCTGAGAGCCTCTTTCACTTAATTGTCACCCTGGAATGACTTGCCTCTAAGGCCATCCTTGAGATTCGAAGAGATTGACGTCAGAACGAGCCAGGTCGGGCTGTAAGCAGGGTGAGGCAATAGGGTTCACACAATCGAAGAGATCGCTGCAGTTGTCCGATGGCTGATGTGGAGCCTGGCATTTTCATGATGCAGAAGCACTTGAGACAAATCCATATTTGGTCTTAGTCGTCTGATGCGAGATTTCAGCTTCTGCAGCTTTGAGCTTCTCAAAATACACTGTGTTTCTGGGAATTAATTGTGGTGCTATTTTCTATGAAATGAACAAGGATGACGCCTTCGATGTTCAAAAAAACGGTTGCCATGACCTTCACTGGTGATGCTTGCACATTAAATTTCTTCTTCCTCGGTGACTCCTTGTGGTGCCACTCCATGGACTGACGCTTTTTCTCTGGGTCGTAATGGTGAATCCAGGTGTCATCACCAGTCATTATTCGACGCAGAAAAGCCTCTTCTACTTCTTAACGCGGAAGGAGATCTGAGCAGATCTTTGCTTTTTGTGCGACACAGTAAACATTCTGGGAACACACCGGTACCAAACTTTGGAGCATCCGAGGGTTTTGATGACTTTCCGGAGGGCACTTTGATCAATACCGAGAGTCTCACACATCTCCTGGTTGTGACGTGCCTGTCATTTTGGATGAGTTCATCAACCTTGCCGGTGTTCTCGTCTGTGCTGGAAGGCACACGGAAGACGACCAGAACGCTGCTTGTCTTTCGCGTCAATTCTCCTGACCTAACAGGTTGACCACCACGGCCATATTGGTCAGGTCACTTTCCAACATGTTTTTTCAAATTCATGTTTGGAGACTCCTTAACAACATACTTGAATTATCCTATGCTATTTGCAATTCAATTGATATTTTGCAGACTTTTCAATGAGGTGCACCGGTTTGCCTCACAGGTTTTAACAACCTTGAGGCCATTTTATAAGTTTACCTCGTTAGAATTTAATTTCGCGGGTGGCCTCCGACTCTGCCCGTTTCGCAGCTGTCTGTGACATCACGCGTTGGAATACTTCCATGAATTGCAGGGCAACCGACCGTGCGGTAGGAAGAATTTCTGCAAATATACAAAGTTGTGAAATCGTGCAGGGTGACAATAAAGTCTGTGGACACGTATTTTTGTATTTATCTCTGAGTAGTTCGAAACAAATGGGCTTCTTTTTTTCTGCACAAATAACCTACAGTACTTGGAGTGACCAACAATTTTATTCAAGTTCAATGTAGCCACCCTTGGCCTTAGTAACATTCCTCAAACGTGTGATGAATAATTCGGCTGCAGCTCGCAGCACTTCTTGGGGTATTTCTACCCAGGATTTATTCTAGGAGGTGAAACATATTAAAAAGCTCATTAAGAAGGTCGTACCTAGGGACCCGATACAAGACGCAGGATGTAATAGAAAGATAAAAGCAGCCCTTCTCCGGGAACGGATATCCTGAACAGCACACCACTCATGACCGATAATGTCCAAGGGCGAGACGCCCTGATTAATAATCTGGAATGGCAGCCCTTCTCCAGGGACGGATATCCTGACTTTGTTGACCAATAATGCCCCAGGATGAGACATCCGGATTAATAATCTGGAACCGAAATCCTTATCGGATTCATCTGGGAAGACCCGGGGAAAAAGGAGGAGTCGAAGGAGGTCAAGGGGATTGAGAGAGAAGAGAGAGAGAGGGAGAGAGAGGTATAGCGAGAGCAAGAGCGAGGAGCAGCTTGTGGGGTGGGGCGGGGATCAAATGGAGATTTGCCTGTGAGACGTTTTTCTGGTGTTTCTGATGTTGTGTCTTTTGTCCCTCCAATATTTTATTTCATCATCCTTTTGATTTTAAACATTTGAATATTAATATAAATGTGTAACTATTTTGAAATTCCGATGGGAGATTTTCTTTCCTGAATTTGCTGTACCGAACCCGAGATTACCTAATAATCCCACAGTCGTGTATTGATTGGGGGTAGTCTCCTACCCAATACGTGACAGAGGTGATGAGAGAGGCTAAGCTCCTGTGGGGTTTGCAGCATGCTTCCTGCTCTGGCCCAAATCGAGAAGTCCATAGAGTTTAAATCTGGTGAGCTGGACGGCCATTTGTCAGGGCTGATAACGTCCGGAAAATTGGTTTGGAGTCATTGAATTGTGACTCTGGATGCATGTGAAGGTGCAGAATCCTGTTAGAAAGTCCAAGGTTGGTCCCCAAAGGTCTTAGCTGCCCAAGGTTGGGCCACAGCTTCCAGAACCTGCCGGCAGAACCTCCTTGTTCCAGAACCTCCTTCCAGAACCTCCTTGTTCACCTAAACCCCTGGGCAACAACGTGAATGGGAGTTTTGTGCTCGGCGGTTACCCAACACAAATCATTATAGATTTGAGATTTTGAACATGCTTCCGGAAGCGGCCAGGGTGGTGCTTGTTCCGGAGCCAGAAGGGATAAATTTGGCGATTGAAATGCTGAGCTACAGTGAAGATCTTCTCGTCGGTAAAGATAATTTTCTCCCATCCCTTCCGACCGAACCTCTTGAGTAGCACTTTCGCTTTTCGCAGCTTGGCTTGTTGCTGTGCAAGGGTTAGCAGCTGCACCTTTTGAACCTTGTAAGGCTTCAACTTTAGCCTGTCTTTGGCTATCTTTTGAGCAGACTCGCTGCTAATACCAAGGGGGGAGGCAACAGAACGCATGGAGCGGCTGGGGTTGCGTCTGAGCAGTTGTCGCATACGTTTTCTGACCTTGGGGACATTGACAGTTGGTGGGCGGCCCCTCCTGGGGTAGTCAATACTTATAACAAGCTCCTTGAAGCGTTTCACTGCCTTATAGACGCTGGACCGTGTTGTACCAAGAAGACGAACACATTCTGCAACTGACTTTCCAGATTTGTGGAGTCCGGTGATGGTTTCGCACTAGCTATCCTGATATTTTGCACAAAAGAGTTGAAACTTTAGAATCTAGTACATGATAGCATCGCCTATGCGCACGCAAAAAAATTGCATTATTTGATTAAAATGGCAAGGAGAAAATGCACTGTCTACGGACTTTATTGTCACCTGTACATTTAATTTTTAATTTTCAAGATGTTGTCGTGCTTCTGAAGATGTAACCTTAGTGGTTTAATTCCAAGTGTGAAGAATGGGGTCTTCCACCCTTTTCGCCTCCTAGGCCTATCGGGAAGAACTCTTTGTTTCCCTAAAATCGCACCTGACTTTTACGGTGATTAAAAGGGAAAAACATAACAAAAGAGGGGAAGGAGGAAATATATTGTGTACCCCTCCTTAGGTGCTAAAAAAAGAGTTGCTGGAATCTCATCCTTTTCTACTCTAATACTTTCCGTACCTTTCTCTTTCCTTCATAATGGTGTGTTGTAATGAAGATGAATAATGTTAATTATTTCATAACCTACATGAAATGATCCATCTTATGTTATACTGTTAATCATATGACATGTTGAAGAAAATGGTTTTGAGTTTTATAACTTAATTTTTTATGTAATTACTGACCATTCCATGAGGAAACAGAAACAAATACATACTATGTAACATAATATGCATAATTAATTTCTAAGTAAGAATAATGGTATGTTGTCATCAGGAGGATGGGACAACCCTGTAACCAACTGGGGCAAACACATAAAACGAAACCCATAAAGATAATGAGAAAGTCACACCATCATGATGACTTTAAATAAATTAAGTCGAGGCCAACAATAAAAAGGTAGCCAATGGGACAAAAGGGGGCCAAGTCTTATATCAAATCCGAATCTCGGATTTTTTTAGGAAGGTACCCTGGCTCCTCCCAGAGGTACCGAGGATATTAGCCAGAGAGTTGGATCCTGGAGTCAGTCGCTATTTGGAAGGCACCATTGTGACCTTTCCATATCGGGAGCTGACTCTAGGACAACCTACCAGCGGTAAAGGTTTGCCCTGTCCCTTGGTTGCATGAGGTAGTGTGGCCCGAGTAAGAGAGAGAGAACAGTAATATAAATAACCTTCAGGTTCCAGTAGAATTTTTCCCAGTCGGATCCATCTCCCATCCATATAAAATTGTCACATTGATTACTATTATCCTATTAAAGAAACTGTGTTCTATTTGGAGTGCTCAAGAATACTTGGATAGATTTCCTGAAGTTAAATTCTTTAACAAGTGCTGTGGATAACTGTTGTTTTTGGTTTTCATCATTGTCTCTATTTTAAATAAACTTAAGTACTCTACTTGAAAGAATCACGAGAATTTCCATTTCTCCAGAAATTCTGTCTGGCGGACCTGCCTGGACCCTCGAATCTGGAACGGGGCAGGTGACCAATTAATATTGATCACTTGTTACGTCACACAAGAATCAGGAACTATTTTGTCGAATCCATTTTCTGTATTTAAAGAATACAATAAATGAATTAAAATGTCAGTGAATTTATCTCTTCATAGGGGTACTTATGTGGAAAAGAACCCTTCACCATGACCAAGAGGCTGATGGCGCAGGGTCACGAGTTGGTCAAAAGCCCCTGTAAGGTAAATTTAATTGAGAATAGATCAGCCCACGAACATAGTACACTTTCCAGCGCCACGGCCTCACAAAACATCTGCAGCACTGAGGCGCACTGGTGAAGCACGAGGCGCAACAAAGGAAAAGAGGTGGGGCACACCGGTGCGCCTCATGGAGGTCAACGAGTTAAAGCAACTAACCCATCTCATGACTGTGCTCTCGTACACGCATGGCTCTCCATATACCACCTTGAGTCATCGGTGAATATCTGCAGGCCCGCACACCCTCCGCATTAATAAAAGTAATCACTGCCCACTGCTTTTGACGCAATTCCGCCATTTTGAACATGTGCTTTGTTTGAGCGCCGAAGCGGATTTTAACGAAACTACAGCCAAAAAGGAGGGAAATGAGAATTGTTAACCCTGACAAGTTTCATTGAATTCATTCAACACAAACACTGACGGAGAAAAAAAATTAGCGTGCATTACTTTTGGAGCAACCCTCGTAAAACATCTGATGAAGCTCCAGTATTTCACAATTTTGAGACACTGTATCGCACATCCCATGACTTTTTCAATAAACTACATGTTCCCATCGTCAGATAATAAATAATTTTGGCTGTTGACTTTAAGCAAATATCACTCAGAATGTCTGAACATGCCCACTCGGAATGAGACTGCCAACTCTGAAATTCAACAAGGAAAGAAATAACTCACTGATTCACTTTTCAACATTTCATCGGTGTTGACAGGGGACCCTTTGTAGCTTTGCTCACGGCGGACCTCCGGTTTTGGTCCGCACTGTTCTAAGCTATTTTTATCATATGATCCAAATTCTGCGGCACGTTTATTTCTTTCCTTCTCTTCATATTCCTTTCTCTTAGCCTCCTCTAATTCCTTACGGCTCATGATAGCTTCCAAGTTGCCACACTTCTCCCTGAGGCAAATCTTTAACTCCTTCCTTGTTCTTCGCAAATTGACATCAGTTTTTTTAAGCAGCATTTCACATTGGGCATCAAGTAGGTTATGATTCTTGTCGCATTCATTGCACGTCCCCATGATAAAACCCGCACATGTATGCATCTTGAGACATCGATAACCTTCTTTACATTCTGCAAGGTTATAATCCTCACATAGATCAGGCACCACTGCGTCCGGCTTGAGGAGCTTTTTAAGCTCCTCACGATCTTCTCTCTGCACGGTTTGTTTTTTGAGAACTCTGTGATTTTGATCCGTGCTGAGGTCATGACCTACCTCGCAAAAGTGATCTTTGCAAAGATCATAGAGGTATTTCGGGCAAATATGCAAAGATTGACAATTTCTTTTGGTGCAGCCATTCATCTTCGGATGTTCATCACAAATATTGACCTAAAAAGGAACACATAAGTAAGTTTCGATATTCGTCACATTCAATTGTTTTTCGAGTTGAAAATAATGATCATAGCTTCCAGAAATGATTTAATTGTCAATGTTTCAATATAATGCAGTTAGAATAACTTGTTTGCGTAAACTACTTAAAATCCATGTAGAATCATATCATCGGAAAGCAGTGGCGTAGCCAGGTTTTCGTCAATGGGGGACTAAGCGGAACGTTGGGGTGGCTTATTTCTCTTCGTCGGGGTGGAAAAGGGGTGGCGGATGACCGGAGTTCGTGTGGGTGAAGGTCCCCTCGCTACGCCACTGTCGAAAGGTCATACTCCTAATTTCATTATGTTCTTCATAGGTTCCATTGTAAACAAATACAGTAATGTATCATTAAGCATAGGGGTGAATCAGGCCAAACTGGAGCAATTGCGAGTCTTCAGACTTTAAAATTCCATAACTTTGACAGTAATGAATCTATTTTGACCAAATTTGAAACCAGAAGAAGCCATTTCAGAGTATATTCTTTCAATATATTTTGTAGTGTTTGTAGCTTTTTTCTGGGACACGCCTAACAGGGAAAATTGAATTTGTCCCTCCTGTAATGCGTGTTTGCCTCAGTACACTCAGAACATTCCTCTGCCAAACAAATACTTGTTCTTCGATTATTTCAAACAAATGGCACAACATTTCAAACGTATTGCTCATTTTCAGAATGTACTTCAACTGCTTTTAGAGGCAGTTTCTCTCTAGGTTTGCAAAGGATTATAGGTGTCCTCAGAATTCGCACTTTTTTCTGTCCCACCTGTAACGGTAGTGTCATAAGTGTCATACGTCATAAGTGTCATAGTGTCATACGTCGCCGGTCTCGGAACCAATTACGACGTAACTTCGGGGGATGACTGTACATGAGACAGGAAACCCACTACACCAGTAGCATTAGGATGAGCTAATTCTACATGTGTCAGGAGGACTTAAAGTTTCTTGTTGCGGGTGGGACATTTCCGGTGCAGGTGATTACTTCAAACAGCAATAAATATAATATGAATGGACCATTCATATTATATTTTGTCTAGCCTTGGGTGCAGGAGAACATCAGAGGCAAATACAGATTGACAGAAATTAAAAGTTTTAATGTTGAATTTTCCTTTTTTTCTCTGGAATTGCTCCTGTTTGGCTTGATTCGTTCCTAGGGGAAAATAAAACAATTATATCCAAGAACCATTGTGGTAAAACAACTTGCGAAATTGGGGCAATGCTTGGCAATGTTATAAAAATGGAAGGAAAGTGAAAAATCCGATAGTATAATATTGTCAGGCAATATGCGTCATCAGTTGGTTGATGCCACAAGTCTGACCAGAAAAAAACTATCCATAAATTGGTCTGCAACCAGGTGCTACGGCCTTGAATGAGATCATGTTCACTACCCATTCAGAAATTTTCTAATTTCGCCAACTATATTGTATTTACATAGACATCGGATATACAGGCTGGGACAAAAACACAGGAACATAGAAATTTTGAGTAAATTTATTTCTCAAAGCGACTGCTTGATGGCAGCACATTTTCCTTTCTCTTTTTCACCAATTTGGCATACAAATTAATTGAAGTCCGATTGAGAGAGCACCGTTGCTTGCGCAACTTTGCCATAATTTGACAGACGACATTGGTCATATATTTTTGATTAAGTGCAGTGAAAGAATGTAACAATTTTGCATGAAATCGTAAAATTTGGGGAGTTCTTGATTTATGCAAAGACAGATAACATTTTCAGTCTTACTTGTATGATTACCATGAAAACACCCAAATATTCCATGACTCTCCATTCACTACATTTTGTATTTGATAGGAACATTCCGGGCTGTGTTTTTGACGCAAAAAAATTGGCGCTAAGGGTCAGTCAATAAGTATTTATGGCCCATACAGGCCCAACAATCAACGCGAGAGGTGTTGAGCTTTGCGGGCATTAGTGAAGGTCAATTAGAAAGGACAATTAAATTCCCCTTAAATTCCTGTGTTTCCAGACATTTGCTCCACCTGTCTGTAGACATTCGCGACTGAGTCAGCCATTAAGCGACTAAAGCTAATTCTAACCATTTTCTGGACATGACGGAAACCTGAAATTCCGTACATAGGTGGCTATTGAGATGCTGACTTAAAAAATAAGTTCCACTTTGGAGGTGTATTCATTGAGGGACAATTTTTTCAGAGACGTTTTCAAAGAGTTCTTTCGCTTTAGCCAAACGGAGCGAAATGGATAGCTGACAATGGGCATGAATATCCATACTATTGCGTAAGCCAAAAAATAAAGCTCCCAAGTATTTACACCTGTGTTTTTAGCTTAGAACGCTTTTAGCTTAGAATTTCCTTCTTGTCTCTCTATGTGTACAACTTTCAAATTAAAGTATCCTCAGCTTCACTAAGACCAGGATACTTAGACCAAGGTCACTAAGTGTTATATTGGCCTAGCTTTCCTCCAGATTCCCCTTCAGGTAATTGTGAAATATAAAGTGATTAGTTATTTTGTTTATCTTCTTGGAATGTTCTCAGGGTGGAGAATGAAGCAGATCCTTGCCGCACGTAATTCACTCTGATAGCTGTAGACCTGCTGTAGCCATTGATACAACCAGAACCTCCTCTCACTGATACCATATTTATTATACTCCCACCATGAGTGATGAAGTGGGTGATCAGAGGCGCGATGGGGCAACACTACGAAAGCACAATCACTCACAAACGCATTAATTCCTCTCCAGGACGATATCGGCCGACCACTACGCGCGCATTAAGTCCCGCAGTCCATTCTAGACTGCTGGTGAAGCACTCTGGTCCACAACCACCGGTCCGGATGAACAGTGGCGAAACGTAACGACGCTGAGGTTAAAAACAACAGCCTCATCTTGGACCCTATATCCGAGCCTCCTAGTTTCATGCTTCGCCGCAAACATTGGAGCGTCATTAACCATATTAGAGCTTCACAGGATAGATGTGCAGATCTTTCGTGAAAATGGCGGATAAAAGACTCACCACTATGTCAATCCGGAGAAATTAAAACCATGGAGCATATTGTTAAAGACTGCCCCCTATGACTCCTTCCGTGGTGGTACTCCCGACTAGCATTATGCAACACCAGAAGCTATCGACCGGATCTCAACCCTCCCAATCATTTTATAACTTATTTCTCACTGTAATCTCACAAAGTTGCTACTTTCCATCGAAAAGAAGATGAATAACAACATGTGATGATTACCTTTGGGGAGTTATCAATGAGAATACTACATACTTAAAACTGACACTCCGAAACACATTCGAAACACAGTGACAGTCCGAAACTGCTTTTCAGTATGCAACATTCCACTTTCGAGAATATATCAAGAAGAACTTGGGCACGAATCCAGCTGTAATTGGCAAGCAGGTAAATATGAAAAATATAAAGGATGAATTCGTTTTGTGGCGAATTTGCACCAAACTTGGCATTTCTATTGCAAATGTTGGATTTAAAGTTTGTGCCTTAGAGGGCAAGCATGAGTGGCCGTGCCCCCTTCAGGATGTGGACCACAATGCGCATGTGCGTACGACACAGGCCTTGCGTGCGGTGCCGTGTCAGCAACCAGGTCTGTCAGTTCCCTACCAACTTTCGTGATGGATGGTTCCAAACATGCAAGGCATTACATCATCCCATCATCACTTAATGGACCCCATGGGTACATTTTCAATTAAACGTAACTGAACGATTGTGTTCTTTATGGTCGCGAATGAGAATGAGATGATATTTTGTCCAATTAATTGAAAAAATGCGGGTCTCCTTAAATGAAAGGAGACCCACTGTTGGACTGGGCTTGTTAATCTTGTATTTTCATGCAAAGGAATTTCTGGCCACCCTCTACGTAGGCCTATGAAAAAATTCCTGAAATGGCCTTCACACGAGCGAACTATGCACGGAAGTTAGGTTCCAGTATGCCCAGGATTGTACATTTTTTTATGCCCAGGATTGTACATTGACCTATAATGAAATTGCTTGCTGGGTGACTTGAGAGCGCCCGAAGGTGAAACAACATGTTCGGTCATTGCTACAATTTAGGGCGATAAATGAAAACATTGATTTGCGCGATTTGTGAAATTAATTCCCAAAATTATGTAATTCCTCCTCTGCGAACTAAGAACAACTGTTGCAAAAAATGTTACCCCTGATAAATTTTGGAAAAATACACATGGACATTATCCTCAACATTGGATCAGAATGCGAAGAATTCTGCCTGTTTCCACACAAATGCAGGACTTTAAGGCCGGATGGAACTATCGAGCCAATGCGACCTCTTTCGGAATTTAAAAGTGCACGGTCGATAAACTTTCATGGTTCAAGGAGAAAAACTTGTATTTGGATCATTTAAACTAGATATTATTATTTTTAAATTCGGGACTGCAGAAAGATGAACCCATCCACATCAAGCGGGATTTCCGCCTATCTGACTGAGAATTCTGGTAACTTAGCTTAACGCGCGAGCCCTACGAACCTATGTCTATGTCTTTCCAGGTCATGGGATTAGTGAATAATGGGTTAAATATGTGAGTAGTGTTAAGTCTTGGGATTTCTCTAACCTCGTAAAATGGAGGCAAAGAGAGAGATTACTGGCGGACAGGGGTAACAAAAGCAACTCACACGTGAGTGAAGAAGAAAACTTCCGCAGTTATCTAGATCTGCTAGGGTGTCTTCGTCAAGTTTGAAGTCTTCAGGTGCCTTCTGGATCTCCACTTTTCCCTCCTCCTTCATTGCATCCCAGAGTTGTTGATGTTCTGGCAAGCAATCGATGATGAAAAGATCCGTTTTGGCTCTGGACAGACTTTCCAAAAGCCAGGAATCATTCACGTTCACATTTATGGAAAGACTGGTTTCACACCCTCGAAAATCTTTGGGATGAAAAAACAACAGTTCTTTTCCACGATCTTTGGTAATCTTGCGCAGGAATTTCATTAGTTTTGTGTCTGAAACGAGCACATGAACGGGTTCTCCACTTATCCCTTGTTCCAGGACGAAAAGGAAACAAATATATGCACCAATATAAGGCATGCAGTTTTTCTGTCCTTTGCATTCCATTTCCAAGTGACTGCCCGGACAAGAGTACTTCATTGTGATGAATTTGGGCTTGGGACCATAAATCAATGCACCCGGGCGTGAATCGGTGGGGAGGGATTTGAATCCCAGCCGCAGAGGGAAGCGGGCCTCATTGTTACAAATATGGCTGAGAAGCTCTTTGCTTGTACTGCGTGCTGGTGGCGGGAGGCTGATTATTTGTACTTCCTTCCGAGATTTGAAAAAAGATATTAGACCATCCATTGAGATTTCTTTTCCACCTTTCGAGTGTGTTTGGAAGATGACAGTTAAAATTATGGTAAACTTCCCTTTTATTAATTCCTCGAGGGCTCGAGTCCATTCCTCTATTTCTTCATCGGTGTCTTTGGCTTGAATGCAATAATCATCCACATATATGTGAATAGTTGAACACTGGAATTTCCACTGCAACTTCTCCAATCCTTCGTACGTGATAATCTCCATTGGGGACAATGATTTTACTCTCTCAATGTCAAGGACGTTCAACGGATGGCTTCCAAGGCAATCCAAGACGTACTTCTGACAAAGGGTGCTCCCCATATGGAGCAGGAGTATTCCACTCACGTTGTGGGGCTTGCGTTTCACAAGTTGGTTGATCCTTTCCAACAATGCCATGCTTTTTCCAGAGGAAGGCGGTCCGAAAATAACTATCAACGATCTCGTCGGATCTTGAATCTTAGGTGAATTCGCCCAACTTGCATATGGAATTAGTTGGTGTTTCATTGTTTTGTATGATCTTTCTTCTAAACCTACTATTTTTTTATTCTTTTCCATCTTCCACACGCCCTCCAAAGCCTCCCAGGGCACTTTCTCCACCTCAGGAATTCTCTCAATCTTCATTTTATTTATAGTATTTCCTTTGATGAAAGAATACTTTCCTGTCTGTAGAGCTTCTTGCTCTACGACAATGTTGATATTTTCGTGGCAAGAATAAACCAAACGTGGAAAATTCTTCCATTTACTCTGTGGCAGGTCTAGGATTAAAGTCGTGTCATCCAAATGATACCCCATGATCTGATCAGCAGTCACTATTACAATGCGATCGGATGGTTCGCCACGAAATTGTCCAAGGATGTCAACGAACCTTACGTTAATCTTATAAACAAACTTGAGGATATTCATTAAACAATTTCTTCTCTCAATGGTGTCTACAACAACATATATCGGCTTGTCTTTTGTGGCGGAACACAAGTGTAAGCATTTCCGTATGGCTTGGGAAGATCTGATGGCTTCACAGGTCATTTTGTACGTGCATGTATAGTGATGAACGAAACATGAAGGTATGGTGTACAAAGTGGGCATCACCTCTTTCGTAGGTTCGCAGAATATTTTCATGTTAATCGTGGGTTCCTGAGATACAAAAATCCTGCGCTCGTATTCGCCAAGAGCTAAAAATAAGTCTGTCACAAGATATGTGTTCCTTTTCACAACATTCAGCACGTGAATTTTGGCACCTGCAATCTCGATGCCACGGATATTTATGTCCCTGGTATAGGTGGCATCATTCGGACGGAATGCAATAGTAAGGCTTCTCGCATGACTCTGTTTCTCACCACTCACGAGATGTGAGATCCCCCTCCAGTATCGAATGAGACTATTTTCGTCCAGGGGACCTTGCATCCCGAGAGTCAGAGGGACTTCATCGATGAGGACATGCTTTCCTTTTCCTTTATCCTGGAGGAAGTTAATGAGTCCCGGGAGGCTTTCCGGAACGTTCATTTCCCTTCCATCCAGACTCTTTATATTCACATCATCTGAAAACGTGGACACAGAAATATTGATAATTTAGGAACTTTTCCATCTGTTATTCTTGTGGGATTCTAAGTAGAAAGCCTGATGTGTATCTCCTGGAAAAGTGAAGTATTCACCATTAAATTTACATGTTTCTCCCTGAGGGAAAGACATTACCACCAATATCCTAGAACTAGCCAGTTTCTTTTCCCGAAGGGCAAACAAACTCACTGTCGTCGCGCCTTCGGTGCTCTATTATCTAAGATGAAATTATTACATTTCTATACAGTGGCGTGTCTCAAAGGTGGTGGGTTTGGGGGTCATATTCTCTTCTCTTAGTATGTATTTTAGGGGTTCGATAATTCAATTGTGCAAGTTTACTCAATCCCCCCTATAAAATAAATTACTTCTTGGTCGGCGTGAAAAAATTCCTAAAGTTTCTCCCGATCAAAATATTAGCTTTACGGGAGCGTATGACAAAATTTGGAATTTCATTGAAATATTTTAAACCAGGACTATATACTAGTCTGTTTGGCTGTAGCCAAAATTATTTTTGATACCATCCCCCTCAATAATAATGCCCCTTGGGAACACTTTTTTAAAGTGAAAATTTATTAAAATCAGCATATCATTAACCACGTTCACACTCATTTTCAGCTGTCTATGACTTTGAGACAAAAAAGTCAGATAAAACGTTTTCCAGAAAGTATGTGGCACCAAGGCATATATCTGAAAATTCAAATTTTCCTGGAAATGAGCACTGCAAAATGTCGTTCACCTTTTTTCGTCATAACCTGTATTTAGACGATAGTGAGTGACTGAGTGACTGACGCTAAATCGAACTTCCAGACAAGGTTTATAATCTAAAACTTAGTAGTGAATGAAAAAAGTAGCAATAGGGATGCAGAATTCAGAAAAAACCGACTTTGGAGGTATAGTCAATGGCGAATCAGGGTGATTGAAAAGTCAATGACCTTTTTGTGCCATATATAGTATCAATCCATTCTTCCGCTTCTCCTGAGCAGTTCGTTGTAATATTAGTGAGGGGCGAAATATAATTTGGAAGAAACGACAAGAAAAGAGGAGTGAGGAGCACAACTTTTCTTAGCAATTAAAATTGATTCAGAACAATGGAGGTTGTATGAGAGACAGGAGAGGGGTGTTATGCTCATGTTCAATGTGACCACCGTTTGATTCAATGAGGGAATTCATTCGAAACAGGAAATTTGACATAGCACTGCAAACTTGGTGGCGATGAATGTGTAACATTTATTGATGGATCGCATTCTTCAATTGTGCGAGGTCTGTCGGATTTTGATCCAATCAACCTCACAGATCATGGGGCCATGAAGTTTGAAAAAAGCGGATGATTATGTGATCTTGGAAGTGCTTGCGAAGGAAGGCTTTTGCCTCGCGATGGATGTGGGGAGGAGCATAATCTTGTTAGAAGATTATCCGATCCATGCACTTCCTGCTTCGAAGTTCAGGAATCACAATGCGAAAAGGAATGCGTGGCTTTGTAAGTCAGTTTGCAACGCGTATTGGAGCAACACTACGTACTCAAATTAAGGGAGGTCACTTGAGCCATTCGCCACTGTTGTGACTATAAAAGCCATCAAGTTCATTGAGACATTCCATTACACCATATCACTAAGTGTGGAAACACGCATTGCCCTCATTTTTGCCGACATTTTCCAGCTTCATGGCCACCACGATCTCCAGGTCTCATTCCAGCAGACTACTGGTTGTGGGATGTTTTGAAATCGCGGGTTTACCGTCAAAATCCAGCAAATCTCGCAAAATTAAAGGATGCCTTCCAAGAAATTTTACACATCCATTGCCACCAAGTTTCCAGTACTGTGTCGAATTTCCTGTTTCGAATGAATTCCCTCATTGAATCAAATTGTCATCCCATTGAACATGCGAATAACACCTCTATCCTTCTGTCTCTCCTACAACCTCTCTGTAGCTTTCTCCATCGTTCTGACTCCATTGTAATAGCCAAGAAAAGTAATGCTCCTCACACAACTTTTGTTGTCGTTTCTTTCGAAGTATTTCTCATCCCACACTCATGTCACCCAAAACTGCTCAGGAGAAGCAGGCAAATCGATTGATACCATATATGGCAAATAAATTTAAGCGACTTTTGAATCACCCTGTATATTAGATGAAATAGACACGTAATCCTCTATGGACAATTAAGGACAGGTTGCAAGTCAACAAAGTAATACTCAAAGGTCTTTGTCTATCGTCTTCGGCTGTAACCGGTAAAATGTTATGATACCTTCCTATACATGAGGATTGTTCGAAGAAAAAGTAAATTATTTTCTACCAATTCATGAAAGTACTGTGCTTTGCTTCATGAACATTTTGAAATAAGTATATCAATAAATACCTAGTGATGTAATGTGAATGTATGCATGTAGTATCGGGCCCTGTACCATCTCTGGTTAGGATCCCTTTTAACAGACTCCTGAAAGAAAACGCTTCAAACTTGCACAAGAAAAGGTAATGTAATTTGTAAGTTTTCACAAGCGGAAAGACCATGACAGTTTCATGCACTTATCGTTTTCTTTATTTTTTGTTGTCAAGTCTCAGTCGATGAGGCAACCAACTATTAAAAATCGCACCGACTGACGTGGAGTGATGCTTTTGTGAAATGTATACTAATTGCTGCAAATTTTCATTTGTATGCAACCAACGATTGTTTCATGAAAATTTTTGAAAAATTATAACATCCACTTATGCATTGCGGAAATAATGAAAAAATCATATTAGCATTCGAATTTTCGGGCTCAAGATTGAGTCCTGTGCCGCCTTATGAGCCTCAAAATATAGTGAAGCCTTTAGGCTTGGTATAGTCGAGTCTTTTGACCCTGTATAGAATGTACGAGATTAGCACATTCAACACCGTTGTTGCATGCAATAGTCTGTTTTCAGACTTAAAATGATATTTAACAGACAATGAAAATGATTAAATATGTCTCATCATTTGAGTAATATCCTCTGACTTTGAAATACCTAGTCAATATTCATGACAGACCTTTAAATTCCCTCCGGAATTCTTCCGTTAAATGTCCTCCTGGGAGGTTCACCACGAGCACTTCAGTAGTTTGATCTTTTGCAAGGCGCTTAGCTCTCTCTTTCACAATTATGGTTTTGCCTGTGCCAGACCCTCCTGCGATGAGAAGTGGTGAGGAGCTCTCTTGTTCATCAACGAGTGCCTTCTGTTGTGGAGTCAAAATGCATAATGCCTCCTCCATTTGTGCGTCGGCTTTTTTGAAGTGTTCCTCATGGGTTCGCGGCATTTTTATGTAAGAAGACGCACAGACGTAAAGTGTAAATACATTATGGAAAAACGTTTTCACTGTTTTCGTGCATTCAACACTTGTTCCAGGAAGTTCACGCACACCATTGCTTCTGAGGAATTCTTGGAGGTCACCTGGTTTCCGAAGATCATCTTTCGTTAAGATCTTTTGGGGGCATGATGGACAACCTTGCATCCTTTTTCGCAAATCTTCTCTCTCCAGGAATGGAAAGGCAGGAAAGGCGACAATTATGGCATTCGAAGCGTTGGAGGATCCATACATGATGTTAAAAAGATCCTTGTCTTCAGCGCATTTGGGAATCATTCTATGTATGCAATTTTGGAAGTTACTCTGATCCTTACAATGTTCTTTTGCAGAAAATTCACTTATTTGGAAGAAAACGTTGCAAACGGAGGTTCGACTTGGGTAAGACAAGAAGACATCATGGCAACTTTCTTTGAGTATATGAAACTTTGTTTTTTCCTTGAGTCTTATCGGCAAGGCTTCATCCAGTGCATCTTTAAAATTCAGTGTCTCAGAGACTTTGCATTCAGCAACTACCAATGATGGAGCATTTCCACATATGTCTCGTGCTCGAGTGAAAACAGCAGCTTTAGCTGTATGATCGGGAGGGAAATTCACATCCTCTTCCTCTGCTATAGAAAGGCGAGCATCGAATTCGCTCTCCTTGAGGAGCAAACCTGAGGGGAGAGAATAGTGAATTTCTCCTGCCTTGGGGTAATATTCCTTAACGTAATCCTTGGCAGCTTCCTGGAAAGACTTTCTAGTGTCACCTCCCATGTATACCTGTGGAAAGTACAATTCAAACGATCTTAGTCATAGACTTTCGAAGTTTTCAGAAAACTAATACATTTTCTACTAACACGCCATCGTATTTGTAACATGAGAGCTGTATCTCCAAGCACTGGTCGAATTGGCGTGAAATGACCCATTTGCTCATATTATTTTCAGAGAGTGAGCTCGACCATCTCGGATTCGGACCAAAATCGGCATTCACGTCGAGGAATCGATCAACGGAAACGGATTGCAACCGTTTTTTTATCTCCAGCACTGCTCTCCAGATATTTCTTTCTGAATGTCGCCTATTTTTGGCTCCTGGTGAAAACAGTTTCACAATTCCAGCGCATTCGGACTTGAATTGTGAAACTTTCGTCAATAACGTTTTTTTTTTGGCTAAGATACAATATTCATTCTGGTATCCTTTTAGTTGTAAAACTGCCTTCTTTAATTTCATTCTATACACTATATTTCCAAGTTTCACAATGAAGCTCCACTTGACCAAACAGTTTCATCAAATCAAGTCGCTAATATCTACACTTGCCACCTCGTGAATCTGTGGTTCTCATATTTCATTCAGAAAAACATGATGTGCCATTTCAAACAACACGAAATTCAAGGTTTATACTCAATGACTTGGTGCGATATGTTTATCTGACTACAACAGTATTGCCAAAACATCCACTTATTCCAACAATTTGACTCCTGACCCAACCTACCATCACGCACAGTCTTATAGTCTTTTTCAAATTTCGTCTGAAGTAAAATCCTTGCTATTTCAGAGGCTCCAATAAAAATTTATTTGCCTTTTTGAATGTGAAAAACAGATTGTGGATCGGGCCGTGCCTCGGGGATTCAAGATACTTGACTCGCAAACTTTCAGTATTTCCTAGTGCAAAAAAGCAAGCACCGTGGAAAAAATCACATAAACACGCACCCAAACGCAAGAACCCACGCGTATTCTAACACATTATTGGAAGGTTTCCGGTGGGAACAATGTAGAACCAATACCAGGAAAAAAAACTATGTTTTCGCTAATTTATGACATGCTGTTCATTCCCGTGGAATGAAACATATTGCGAACTGGAGTAGTCTGATCTCTCCCGCATCACATTCACGGAGTGACTCTAGTCCATTTATTCCATTATATTCCTTTTGAGTGAAGTTCAATGGCTCAAGACACTGACCTTGAGGAGGTGTTTCTGGATATCAACTCCATCTTCCATATAGCATATGGCTGGAGACGTAACATCATTGAGGGTTTTACTAAGATGACACGTACACTTTCTCTGCAAGAATAAAGAAATCAAGTATTCTCAGAAATTGCGATTGACCATATTTTAGTCGAGTTATGAGGCCTCAGATTTGAGACTAGAGCTTTTCGAAGATAATCGATTTACAAATAGATCCCTTCGCCGGACACCTCAGTTTGGCGAATAATCTTATATTCTTGGGATGCTTATTTCGTCGAAAGCCATTTGTAAGACCTGAAAAAGTTAATATCCATTGGACCTCGCGTCCTCGGGACCTCACTTTGGGTTCAGCATCAATATGGGATGTTTTTGGCTTAAAATGTATATTATTTCTTAGGCATTGCAAACTACAAGAGGACAGAATGCAACATTTAGCGACCAACCTGTTCAAACAATGAAGCCGTTAAATGTGGATCGCGTGTCTCTCCTTCATCAGGATATACCTCTGTCGTAGGGGCTCGGTTGCTGAGGGAAAAGTAGGGTGACGCAAGGCTCAAATACACTCCAAGCGAGGTGAAAAAGTAGTATACAGTAGTGTAGGCATGGGGAACAGTACATTGAAATGCATCAATTAAAGTCTCGCATTTTTTTACAGGAAGGTGAGTTCCTGGTAGGCTTATAGACTGAAGAAGGGGAGAGAGACAAAGGCTACAGGGGGTCATGCTAGTAACCAACCAGTTTCGCAGGATCAACGACTTATGATTTTGTGAAACTGGGGTCTGTGCAGCTGTCGGGGACCTACATGCATGGGACAAACACAGGTAAAATTATTCTTTTGTCTTCCCCCCTTTTGACCAGGTTGTTGAGTAATATGAGAAACCATATTCAGTACTACTAGAGATAAGATTATATTGTAGTCCCGAGATTTCGACTCGTGCTTCTCATTCGCGCGTGACGGCGAAATGAATTTCGATGTTTCTGTAATCACTGCAACTTTCTGGCGTGCAGACCAAGGATTTGAAAAAAAATATGCAGATTAATTTAGGTGAGTTGAATATAATCTACATAAAAACCAACAAGTACTGGATAAGACCTGGTCAGTTAAAGCGCCAGAACGTAACATTGGACATGCACAAGCCCAAATCCCTGTAAATATGTTCTTTATGAACCAGCCTTTCTAGCTGCCCAGTTCGTAGGCTTTGATAAGAAGTCATGCCTGAGTAAAAAGTTAACTTCCATCATAGACTTTTTTGTGCAAGACGGTTATCGGCGTTTTGGTCACGCCAATTTGGTTGCGGACAGTTCGTCGTGGTGAAAACGTCGCATGCACTTTTGGTCGATGCAATATTTGGTCGTATTCTCCTTGTCATGTGGGCATTACGAAGGCTGGGATGAATTAATATAGTCAATTTCTAACCCAAGGAAGGCACTAGTGGATTTTCTGAATGAACGCCCTAAAAGGCATCTGTCCTCAATCGAAATTCAGGAATTAATGACGAAGACAGAAATTAAAATTGTGAACTACACCACGCAGGAAAGTCAATTTTTTTGTGGGGTCATAAAAATTAACTTCATCACCAATATAAAGATTGGAACATGGAACGTGAGGACAATGCTGAAGAGAGGAAAGCTAGAACACATCAAACGAAAGATGGGGAAAAACAGATTAAACATCCTAGGACTAAGTAAAGTGCGGTGGAAGGATGGAGATTTCGTCAGTGAATAAGGGTGATCTATGCAGGAGAAAAGGAGAGCCAAACAGGAGTAGCAGTGATGTTGGACAAGGAAATAGCAAAGAGAGTGTCAAAGGTAGTACAACATAGTGATAGACTGATCCTGGTGAAAGTGCAGGCGGAACCTGTGGATCTCGCGATTGTACAAGTCTACGTACCAACTTCAGAACATACAGAGATGGACTTGGATGATGTGTACGAGCAACTGGAGGAATTGATTGCAGCAGAAAAAGGAAATGCCAATCTTGTTGTGATGGGAGACTGGAATGCGGTAGTAGGAGAAGGCAGAGATGGAAAGGAGATTGGGAAGTTTAAATTAGGGCAGAAAAATGAACGAGGAGAGAAGCTCGTAGAGTTCTGAAGGCGAAGAAGGATGATGGTTGCTAACACATGGTTCAAGTAAGAAAAATGAAGAATATATACGTGAATTAAGTCAGGAGACAAAGGAAGGTATCAACTAGACTATTTGCTAGTACGCAGCGATCCCGAAATGGGGTGAAAAACACGTGCAGCTATTCCGGAGCAGATGGGGATTCCGACCACAACCTGGTAGCAATGTCATTGATAGTGAAGTTGAAGAAAGCGAAGAGGAGCAAGATAAGGAGGAAGTGGGATATAGAGCTTTTGCCAGAAAGAGCGGAGGATTTTCAGAAGGAAGTTGAGGAAAAGGTCAGGTTATTGAATGAAAACGACGCACAGTGGAAGAAAAGTGGAGAGATCTGAAGGAGGTTTTGGTGGAGAGGGCAGAAAACAACATTAGGTACAGGAAACAAAGAGTAGCAAAGAAACCATGGGTTACAGGTGGAATGTTACAAAAAATGGATGAACGAAAGAAATGGAAGAATGTAAACACAAAAGTAGGAAGAGATGCAAACAACTAAATAATGAGCTTAGAAGGGAAACGGATGAAGCTAGAGAGAAGTGGTGGAGTGAAGAATACGCAGAACTGGAGGAGGTGGACAGAAGGGGTCGGTCAGATCTCATACAGTATATAACAAGGTGAAACAGATCACTCGACAAAGGAATGCAAGTATCAAGGATACATGTGATCAAGGATAGCAATGACATGTGATGTCATGTGATCAAGGATAGCAATGGAGAGTTGTTGACAGAGCTAGACAAGATAAGGAACAGGTGGAAGGAGTACATAGAGTTGCTGTATGACAAGAATGGAAAGCCAAGGATGGAGGACTTTGAATTAGAGGCGGAAGAAGAGGTTGAGCTAGACAAGAAATGGCCAGATTTGTTGGAAAGCGAGATCAAAGCGGCAATCAAGGAAATGAAGAAGAAAAATAGCAGAATGTGTAGATGGAATATCAGCTGAATTTTGGAAGAACCTCGGAGAAAATGCAACAAAGGAATAATAGATTTATGGCGAAGCATATACCAGCAAGGAGAATGGCCAGAAGATTTTACAAAGACGGTGGTAATACCGATACAAAAGAACAGAAATGCAATAGAATAATGCATGCATCTAAGATCATGTAGAGAATGGTGACAAGAAGGGTAGAGGCGAAGGCAACAGACTTCATAGGAATGACTCAATTTGGATTCAGAAAAGGATGTGGGACTAGGGAAGCAAATGGAGTGATGAGGATGCTCTGCGAGAGGAACCTTGAACATGGGAAGGAACTGTTTGTGTGCTTTGTATATTTTGAGAAGACTTTTGACAGAGTAAACTGGGTGAAGATGATGGAGATACTGAAGGAAATCGAAGTATATTGGAGGGACAGGAGATTAATCAGCAAGCTGTACTTGGACCAGGAGGCAGTTGTTAGAATAGCACATGGCGAATCGGGCTTGGCAGAGGAGTTAGACAAGGATGCCCTTCATCTCCAATTTTGTTTTCGATTTATGCAGAGAAGATGATGAATGAGGCTATAGAAGGGATTGAGGAAGGTGTGAAAGTCGGGGGCAGCTGTTGAAGGATATACGGTTTGCAGATGACCAGGGCATGGTGGCGAGCACAGAACAAGGACTTTAGAATTTGATGGATGGGTTAAACGCAGTGGCCAAGAAGTTTGATATGAAGATCAATGGGAAGAAGACAAAGGTGATGAAAATGTCTAGGAAAGGAGGAGGAATAATTAACATTGTGATTGACGACCAGAAAGTGGAACAGGTGAAAAAGTTTAAGTACTTAGGACCTTTGATCACAGATGATGGTAAGTGTGAGGTGGAGATCAGAGCAAGAATAATAATGGCAAAGGATGCTTTTAGCAAGAGAAAGGAGTTATTAACAAAGAGGATGAACCAAGAGGTAAATAAAAAGATAGTGAAGGCAGTGGTGTGGAGTGTGGCTTTATATGGGTTCGAAGCATGAACTTTGAGGAAGGAAGACATCAGGGGCCTGTTTCATGGAATTTACAAGTTCTACAAGTTACAAGTTACAAGTACTTGCAAGGGTCGTGCTCCTTGTTTAACTCTTCCTGCTGGTCCCGCTGGCCCTTCGTGCAAGTACGACACGACCCTTGTAATTACCAGTAACTTGTAACTTGTAGAACTTGTGAATTCCATGAAATAGGCCCCTGAAGGTTAGAGGCTTTTGAAATGTGGATGTGGAGAAGGATGGAGAGAATAAGATGGATACATCGAAGAACAAATGAAGAAGTAATAGAAGTTGTTGGGGAAAAAGAGGACTAGTGAAAATGATTGCTAGAAGAAAGAAGAGCTGGATTGGACACATTCTACGCGGAGAAGGATTGTTGAAGAAAATGACAGAAGGAAGAATGGAAGGGAAAATACATGGAAGGAAAAGAATTGGCATACTGAAGGAACTGAAGGAAGAGTCGTTTGTGAAAATGAAGAGGAGGACGGAGAACAGATTGGAATGGAAAAGATGGATGTGTAGGACCTGCCAATAGGCAGAATACTTAAGAAGAAGAAGAATTAAAAACGGCCTTGATACGCGCGTCCAGATTGCACCACTTCTTCCTCATTGGTTGTGGCATTTCCCCGCCGAGGAGACGTTCATTCTCCAGGGTGTGATGGGCTTCCTCAATGCGAAATGCTTCCTGCTCTAGCCCTTCTACCATAAAGAACGACTGCGACCCTTTCCTCCCTTTCTCTTTCCTGGCTGAAATCCATAAGGAACCCCAGGGCCCTGCTCCTTTCGACCCTCTCGTCCACCTTGCTACCACCCCTTTCACCAGTGCGACAATCTTTGCCTGTGACGAAATAACATAGGGTAACTTGGGGGAATATGGACACCAAAAATGAAATCAGGTTATAGCGTCACTTCTAGGTGAAATGAAACTTTGCCAATATTCATAAAATATTGATTGAGGTCTCCTTTATTTATTCCCAACAAAATCCGTGCAGAAAAGTAAATGGGAAAAGAGTATTTGGGACCTCTTCACATGGGTCCCAAGAGGCCATATTACCCCTATTGTTGGGGGAATATGGCCAGGCATTAGGGGGAATATGGCCCTACACAATGAAACCTGGTCATCATGGCCCATCAAGGTTGAATTTGACTTTTACAATGTTTCCAAAATATTGATTGATATATCCTTTGCTAAATGCCAGCAAGGGGAATGCAAAAAAAACCATGGTTATGGCACCTTTGGGTCTTTTTTGAGTAGGTCTCAAGAGGCCATATTAACCCTATAGTTGGGGGAATATGGCCACTTCTGAAAAACAACTCCAGATTCTCCAGGAACGTGTGAAATGTGCTGGAACATCCTGAGTACCTAGAAACATGATAAAGGAATCTCAGCAGTTGAAAAAGAAACATTAACTACACCAAGAACAAACAAAGAAGTCGACATCATTACCTGACTCGAGGAACCGTTGTGGAAAACAGGATCGCAACGCTTTTACTTTTGAGTAACAATGGACGTGATTGGGCGACAATATCTAGAGACTGTGTGTGTGTAAGAGGAATGATCAAGCATGGATTAAAGTGACTATGCGCTACGAGTGTAAAATAAGAGGTCTTACATTGCAGGAAAAATGTTGCGTTGTTTTTGCATGTATGGATAAATAGTGCCAAAAATCACAGAATGTCCTATTTTTACGAGGGATATTAACTT